TCAGTATGTCCTTGCCCTCCACCCAGCGGTAAAAAGGGAACCTGACCTCATCCCCACTGGCCCCAGGGCCCTGCACAGAGATCCAGTTGCAGAACCAGGCATCATCCTGAAGAAGGTGCCATTTGCGTAGTTTCACAAACAGCAGCGGGCCCAGGTACTCCTGCACGTCCACCTGGAATTCCTCCACCTGCGGAGGACAGGAGGCTCAGCCTGGATGGGCAGGCAGAAGGGGTAGCAGCCTGAACCCAGCTCCCCCCACCCCCACCCCCATGTCCCTTTGCTTGGTTTCTGGGAGAGCGGCCTGAAGAGAGCCAGGAAGAAAAAAGGGAGTGAGTGCACACCGCGCAGGTGGCCCACCACCCCGTTCTGGGTCAAGGACCTTAAGCCAGAGTGAGAGAGAGGGTCAGGACAGAGGAGAACCTGCGCTCCTTCCTCCACTCCCCGCTGTCTTTGCACCAAGCGCTGAACATTCACTGAGCGCTTCCCCTGCTGCTATCACCCCTAAGCCCCTTCTGAGTAGCGCCTGTGCTCTTTTGGCTGCTGCGTGACTCTCAGCAGCAGAAAGAGCTGGGGCGCCTCTTCCCAGGTATCCGACAAACTGGGGAACAGGGAGCCGCCCACCCCGCGCAGCTCCGCACAGCTCACCTTGCCCCGCGCCGGCCGGAGGCGCCACCCGAGAGCCGCCTCCCCGTGCTGGCCGACCAGCGACAGGTGCACCTGGTTTTTGGAGCCCGCGTAGCAGGAAGACCCGGTGGAGACACGGATGCGGTAGAGAACCATCTTGCTCAAAGACGCTTAGCGCTGTCTGAGCAGGAAGGAGGCGAGACTCGTCTAATAACGAAGTCCGAAACTCCGCCTTCTAGGGAGTGTTTTCAGGGGGCCTGGGTTGTGGGGACAAGTCTCCAACCAGCCCCGCCTGGGCTCTCGCTAGGGCCCCCAGCTCCACCCAGCCCAGACCTCAGCCCCCACCCAAATGGCGAGGCCCTAGCGGAGACAAGGATTACAAACCATGATCTCAGTGGGAGGGGTAGTAAGTGGGGATTTAGGCAGGAAATAGGCACCTAATGAGAGAGCAGGGTCAGGGGCTGGTTGGCAGTCTCTGGGGAAAGCACGGATGGATGGGTGAAAGCCCTGCTCCACACACACACGCGCGTGCACACACACACGCACACAGACACGCACACGCACATGCCTCACAAGTTTATTCCCCCCTGCCAGAGGTCACCTTGAGGTTGCAGGGAGGGTAAAGTGGCCGGGGAGACCCAGTCTGAGGCAGCATTTGCAGAGAGCACATTCAGACCACCGATTTCATTTACCGACTTCACACACTTGCCTTCCCTGTGCCAGGCTCTGGGCTCATTCCTTTTTTGCCTGCAGAAGAAAAATCCAAACTTCTTGGCATTCAAAGCCCTTGCTAGCCTGACCTGCCCTCCTCCTCTCCCCCTCATGCCACTGCGCCCCATCCTCTTATCCCACCCCTCCATCCTGAGCTGGAGCCACGAGCTCCCCAGAACCACTATGTTTGTTCTTAGTGAGAAGAATGCACTCCTGGAAATTTCTGTTTATCCTCCTCACCTCTGAAAACTCCAGTTTTCCAGTGACGTCTTCCCTGGCATTTCCACGTCTGCCATTTCCTCCACACACGGCTAAGCAGCTTTCCTCTCTGCTACTCCCCCTTGCCATACTTCTGCCATTGATCCCTCTATAGTGCCTGTCTGTATCCCCCAGGAATGGGAGCGCCTCCTGGGCAAGGACCACCTTCTCAGCATGATTTAACACTTCGGTCCCCTGGATTTTACTGTGTCAGGGCTTGTTATTGAAAATGCTGTCTTTGGGGCTGGTAGGCGGCATAGTGGTTAAGGGAGCTGGAGTCCCCCGTGGATTGTGTTTCGAGTCCCGGACCTGACAGCTTGCATTTTCAGTTTCCCTCTCTCTGTGTCTCTCTGGTCAATTGGGGTGTTCAAGACCCCCAGTGGAAGCCTGAAGCCAAGGATCATACCAGGACCCTGTATATGCTATATGATTTGTCCATCGGATAAGCAAGACGGCTGCTTTGTGACTATCAGGTTGGTAGTGAGTACACTGGACGGAAGGGTAATTCACTCCCAGCCAGGACTGTGGCTTTTATCATCACGCTACTCAGAACAGCTCCCAATATAAAACATAAATGTTTTGTTTCTGGAATTTTCCACTTAATATTAATATTCCATTTAGTTACCCACAGTTGACCCTGAGTAACTAAAACCACAGATTCAGGGGCACCACTGCAATAAACAAATAGTAAAGTCATCTCTGGGGCCACATGGCATGGGGTACTTTAAGCCTGATCAAACACATGAAGTCAGGGCCACAGGTAGTGTAACGGTGAAGGGACTGGACTCCCACACGTGGTAGTTCGGGTCACAGACCTGGCAACGTGGAACCCATGCTGGGAAGTTGTGCATGTGTATCCCAAATCCTAGGAGAATGGAGAAGAAGATTGTAACTTGCCATGCACCCCCACCACACCCAGGGGATGATTTCTCACTTTCCCTCTCACTGTCTGTGTCTCTCTCCAATAAATGCACATGCCTTATGGTTTAGCCTTTAAAAAAAATGAATAAGAATATGTTTGTAATGGTTGTTTTATGTCTTTTTTGCTTTTTTTTTTTTAAGCAGGAAGTACATTCAGGTGACTCAAAATTTGAAAGGTACAAAGTGGTATTCACTAGTTTCTCCCTCCTTCTTGGTTGCAAACCACCCACCTCCTCTACCCTCAGCCATCACGAGTCTCTTCCCAAGCAAACGCATGCCTACCCTTCTTGTCCCCTTCCTGTACATGGCAGTGTATTTACACACTGTTCTGCCCCTGTACTGTCACATAAATCAGAAAACCACTCCATATCACTACATAAAGAGATTCTTTGTTCTTTGTTAAGGTGTGATTGTTTGGTTTGTTCTACCAATCCCTGGTGAGTCGATGTTCAGATTCTTGGCAATCTTTTTTTTTTTTTATTTTGGAGAGGTTTTTTGTTATAGGGTTCCTGAGCTTGCCAGAAAGACAGACAGAAAGCGAGAAATCATCGCCCCCCCCCCCAGGGTGGATGGCCATGCCGCAATCCCTTCTCCTCCATTCTCCTCTCGGAATCTCAGGCACACATGCACATGTGCCCGGCGTGAGTTTAAGCCACCGGGTCCGGGACTCAAACCGTGGTCGACTACATGGGAGTCCCCCAACACAGCCATTACACCAACTGCTGGTCCCAGATTCTTGACAATCTTTGGCAACTACAGATCTTTTTTTTTTCCTGAAGGAAATAGCCCAGGGTGTACATCTCTGGTCATCTGTAAGTATTGTCACAGTCTGCAGTAAGATTCAAGAGATATCATCTCAAGAAATACAATAGAATTTTTAATAGAAATCTATTGAAAGAGCATCCTGGGGTCCGAAGCTGGAAGTGCTTCAGCCCACCTGCTAGGCAGGAGAGGGCTCCTATTATAGAGTAATTGAGCTATTATGGGAGACATATATGCACGACTGACTGGTATGTAGGGGCGTTAGGCTAGGTGGGATAAGCACACATGAAATATTTGGTGGGTCTTTTTGATCCATCCTAGGGAGTTCGACATCCCAATACTGGTTTTGGGTCTTTATCTGTTACTTCCTGGGTCAGTGCAATTTTGCACTTGACGTGTGGGCCCCTGCCAAGACCAGTTATGCAGAAATTCCACCTTAGTTCCTTCTCAGGCCTGGAGCAATGCCAAATGGTGCTCAGGAGCATTTTATTAAATAGGACCTTGCAAGTATACTTGTATTACAGTATCTGAAACCACGTGTAATTTTAGCAGAGGTTGCTAAATTGCCCTTTATAAAAAGTTGTAGCAATTTACACTTCCGCCTGTGGAGTAGGAATGCGAGTGTTCTCCCTGACTCTTGCCAGAGTGTGTTAACTACCATCTTTACCTCTCATAGGTGAACAATGGAACCCTTGTTTGAACCTTAATTTGCATTTCTCATCTTATGCTTAATACTGAGCTTTCTTGTTTATTTGTTTTGTTTGCAGGAACTATTTGTACTTCTTTTTACGTAACTTAATTATTCTGTTTTTCTATTGGGTTTCAGTCTTTTTCTTATTGATCTGTAGATGCTATTACATATGAGGCAAATTAGCCCTTGTCTAAGGCTGTCACTGCTGAAAGGGGGCCATCAGTCACCACAGTTCTTTTTACCTACAGCAACTCTTTAGAGCCCAGATTTTGATCTCCATATTCCTCTTTGTTAAAGGATGTCTGGATCACTGGAGTAGGGGCAGGTAAAACACAGGCTAAACCTGGTACTAGCGTTGTTGCTGAAGGAGCACAAGTGCTCTCAAGGAAGTCACAGGCAGCACTGAGAGGTCAAGATGT